ATCGGTATATTTTGATTATACATATAATATTAATCAACGTTATACGCCAACAGTAATTTTTAATTAAAAAAATATCACATTTTTATTACACAATAACAATACCCTAAATTTACGTATCCGATGTGCGTTACTATCCTGCATTACGACATACCGCAATTATGATGGTCCCTATTTAATGAATGCGCATTCCAAGTCAATGTACACATGTACATTTGAGAAGGCACTTACAAAGAGACATGGTACTTGGCGAAATATTAACATACTTCATTGGTGAGTGAATATGCTATTACATCGTTTAGTTTAAACGAGTGAAAACTTAACAATTTACAGTCACATCCATAAAAGATCAAACCATTCGATGCAGATGACAGAGCTGTTATCGGCGAGCTGTCGCGAATATGTTTAAAAAATTATTAAATTTTTCAAATTTGAAGAAATGGTATCATGATTTTGCTTGATTCATTCGATGAATTATGAATAACAATACAACATTACGTCTCGCATAGCCAGTCACAAGGTAATTTTGGCATTTTGTTTGCTGGCCATGGAAGATAACCTGCCGTTTTGAAAATCCAATAATCGTAAGATACTTTGGCTATCAGACTTATTAGAAGTACAACTTCCGTGGCAATAATGTAGTAAATATAGTCTGTCCAATCTCCCGGATAGACGCACATCTTCGATGGTTCTAAATCAACCACTTTTTCCTTTACATTTTCACACAACACTTCATCCGAATCTAGTATGCGAGTTTGTAGCCATCCCTGGAATGCAATTTTAAATAGAATATCATGCATATTTATCTACACATTCAAATAATGTATACAAGCACCTTTAAATATTTAGCCGTATTACAATCGCAATGCAGTTCGTTTCCTCCAAGTTTGACCAGTCGTGAACTGATAATATTTTTATCATGAGTATTAGGACTCAAAATGTACGTTGGAAGCTAAAGATATACAAGTTGCAATTTAGACCGTTCACAATTATTCATGTTCATTATTTATTATAATATTTATAACCGCTGTTACTTACAGATTTGATTTTGTTATATCGCAGACTAAGCAGAGCATAGTTGTCCAAAAATTTCGATCCTTCTAATTTATTTATAGATGATATATTATTATAATCTGCATAAAATTCTCTGATATCTTCGTAACATGGATTAGTGCTAAGATCGTCCAATGCGGTAATCTACGGTATTAGTTAACCGCAATAATTAAAAAAGACTTGAACATTTTATCGAAATTAAGACAGTTTGCATAGAAATATGAGATAGCGTAAAATTTACGTACGTTGTTGTACGAAACGTTCAATGTTATGGTATTGCGAGGTAATTTTTCAGGTAATTCTGTGATTTGAATTCCACTGCAATCTACGTTTACCGCTAAAGTCGGTGGTTTCCCTGCAGCGATATCCCATCTTCCGAAATTGCATTGACACTGCCAATTATCCCCTTTTGGGCATTCCGTTTGCAACTGTAACAAAGGTCAAATAGTTTTTAAATATCGAATATTACATTAATACAATCGTCGTCGTTGTTTGGATTATGTATTATTATTAAATGCTAAAAATGTTTGTCTGTATTATATTCAGAAAATATTACCAAACTTAGATATCGAACTTGTTTTAAAGGAACTTGCTCTGTAGTGTTGAACCAGTGCCATGTTTTACTTGCTGAGCATACAGTTTCATTTTCGCGATTGAAATTAATCTGTTTTTCTCCCGTCTTATTGATATATTCATAGATGTCGTGACACCAAAGTGTATTTGTTCCTGAATGTAACAAACTGTGTTACTTCTACCCAACATCTAAACGGTATTATTATCAAAATATCAAATCTTTTTTTGTTTTATTTTCATGCATTTACCCACCTGAAATGTCCAGCCATAATTCACGCCCATTCATTGTATTTAAGGCTGGCAAATGCGTAAGATTGTTATAAGATAAATCCAAAGTAGTGAGTTGAACTAGGCGAGTAAGCGAATTATTTTCTACTTCGATGAGACCATTATTCGAAAGATTTAAACATAACGTTGGCGTCATCATCCGAAATTGTCCTTTCACCCGATTAATTCTTCCATCGGTTATCGCAAGTGATTTTAATCTTCTCCATCTAATTTCGCTTACGTTAAATACATCTAATGTTACATTTCTCATATGTATATAAGATATATTTGATGGAAATCCTGTAATAATGAAAATACTATCAGAAGATACTCGAAAGGTACAGATCTAACATATAAATATGATCGTTGCAGAAACTGTTTGGCGATTCGTCGAACGATAATGTAATACGGTAGTGTTATAACGACCTGCACAAGAAAGCTCGGATTCAAAGTTTCTACTGTCCAAATTGCAGCAAAGAACAGCATCGCCCTCGGGATTATTAGGGGCAAGAATGATCTTTTTGCAGGAACATCCAGTAGTCTCCACTGTGGGACATTCGGATGATCGTTGATGAAAACACTGTTCCAAGAGTCCACCGGACATTCCTGTAATCGACGTCGACGAAGATGTTTGTTGATCTTCTTCTGTTCGTGCGCTTGCTACTCCCGCATACAAGCACATCATTATGGCAAACCACTGCATCTGTAAATGTGGTCAAACCTTTCAGACGAATAAAAATACAAAAATTTTGTTGTACCTTTTAAGTTCCAATGTATGTACAAGTACCAGTTGTTACGCATTAATTAAACACGGCAGCACGGTAATCGTGACTGATCGAGACACTGAGACTGATATAACATAACAAAAATTGGCTAAATTAAACGCAGTTTTTACACAATATATACGTAATTACGTACATACTATATATCTTTGCGAGTTTTATGTTTTCTTTTTTTTCTGTATACGCTACAGTTTAAGCTTACCGCTATAGATTTCGATGTTTATCATATTAAACGATTAAAAATATTGATCGAGTTTCGTGTATTATCCATTCTATATTTGTATGTATATAACTATGTATTTCAAAATTTGCATGCTTTGCACGAGAGCAAAAATATTGTAACGAAAATGATAGTTGGTTTTTTTTTAAAATATCGTTACATATTAATCGTAATATGAAATTTAAACGTTAACGTTTCACGTATAACAAATAATTATACGTATATTTTATAAATTCTTCTATTGAAATTTTACGATTTCAAATAAAACTATGCAAACTACTTACGGAAAGAAAATACTAATGAGTATATTGGTAAATAAGAAGTTTATCGGATATTTTAGTATAATATTAAAAATTATATTAAGTATCCGTGTTGCGTCCAATAAAGGAACAAATTGTGTTCAAAGACTGCATCGACAACTTTGACATTAGCTAAAGATTAATATATTTGAATAGCAGGAAATTGAAAACGGACTGGTTATTTTCGTCATTTGTAGGGAATACAAGAAAAACAGAAAAATGAACGTATACTTTAAAAAGATAATTCGAGGAAAAAAATGTTGATAAATTTGTTGTTTTATTTAAATTACCTTCATATCGCATAGGTTTATAATAGACGAGATAACGATCGTAAGAATTACAGCTACATTGCGAGAAAATTCTTACGATGAATTCCCTTCGATTTATAGTAGAAGTATGTTGTCCGTAGAAATTGTATCATACAAAATAACTCACAAAAAAAAGCAATCACAATTGATAAGTCGAATTTTGTTTTTTTTTGCGAAGAGAAAAGTACACATTGCGCATTCCCATTAAAAACGTGGGTAAATTAATTCGTTTAAGAGTCTCCGACACTTTGGGTCATACGGGTCGACCTATTAATGAATCAAAATTGGTTAGCTGCTGGCAGAACCCGTCACTTTATTCACTTTATTACACTCGTTTGCCCCGTATCCGTATGAACGATAAATCACTATACGTATACGAACGGAGCTAACGTTTTCTTGCTTTGATTCTAATCCTAATACTAAACGTAAGTCAATTACGAAAGCAACGTTGCAAAAGTATTTATGATTTCACGTTATGCGTAAAAATAAATGTAAACGTAAACATTTGTTGGAATTATTCTCGATAATGTCAAGCTTGGTACCAATCTTTCTTTCTTCATCCGTAACTCGTATTATCGATTGCAAATATTCTATATAGGAAGAAATTAAGATTATCAATGATATCGTTCTATGCTGAAATATTATCAATTCGTATAGCGTCGATTACTAAGGATTACATCGTTGTCACGTAATTGGATACGGTTACTGTTCGTGAATATATATATATACATATGTACATATTATACATATTCATGCACTCAATAATAATTATTCTCAACACCGCTTTTTGGTAATTGTCAATATTATACGTGTCATTTTTAACCTCGGTACCAGATATCCGATACGTGCACGTATACAGGGTGTCCCATAAATGTTGTAACACCTTGAAACGGGTGGTTCGGGAGGAGATTTGAAACAACTTTTTCCTTAGCGAAAATATTGTTCGAGGCTTCGTTAAGCATATATTAACGGAAAACACTGACCAATCAGAGCGCGAGGATGCCGATGGAGCGCTCGCGGTAGCTAATGAGCGCGACCGCCTAGCGCGTAGCCTACGCTCAACCGGCATCCTCGCGCTCTGATTGGTCGCGGTTTTCGCTTAATATCTCCATAACGAAGCCTCGGACAACATTTTCGCTAAGGAAAAAGTTGTTTCAAATCACCTCCCGGATCACACCTTTCAAGGACTTCCAACATTTTTGGGATACCCTGTATATAAGTACGTATATATGTACGTATTTATAGACACATTTTCTTACGTGTAATGTCTACTTTTTCAATTTTACATTTTATTTAGCATATAATTATTAATATACATACATACATGATATAATTGGAAAAGAATAATACAAATTAAAATTTATATACGATAAGATTTCTTTGAAACTGAAACAACGAAAAAATAAAACTATTGAAAAACGTATTTACGTTTATATATCACGGTTTGCATGATTGTGTATGGTTTGTATAGTTGCATACGCAATCATACGTAGCTAACTATCTTGTAGGTAAGACGATGGGCTCTGGTAACAAAACTAAGCGACTCGCGATTTTGAATGTCATTGGTCGAATATATTTTATGCTTTTTTTTACTTTCACTGGATTATTTTATTATATGTATTTCACTACACAATTGAATAGTAATTATTATAGGTGAATGATAATTTGTATGATTTGTATTGAATCTATATTTGTTTGGCGCGCAGCTAGTCGCCAGCTCGTCGCCACTAGCTACGCCATTTCGGTTTAATTCCATTTCCATGTCTTGCACGATAAAGTCCGTCGAAGAATATGTTACGTAGTAATAGTAATAGCAATAGACGTAGCGTATAGTAGAAAATGAATGTTATGTCGTACCATTAATTTATTTTTGTAACGCGTTGGATTTTTAAGCGAGTTAACCTTCTTTCTATCGAATGATCTTTGCGTATACACACATTGCTGTTTGTCAGCGTTTTAAGATGGCGGACTTGAATGAGAAGTTGTTAACAGAACTCCTAAAAAAACCTGGAAATAATGTGTGCGCGGATTGTGGAGCAAAGAGTGAGTGTGTTTTTCGAAAAGTTTTAAATACATTTCTGTACGAAACACATCGTAAGACATTTATTTATTCATTCTATAACGCTATTCACCGATGGTATTCGATATCTTGTTTTCGTAACTTCGTTTATATCCAAATATAAAATGATTTAATTACAATTGTAAAACTGTCTCAACGACATTTGAAATGCGTAAAATGGATGTAAACGATAACGTCCGAAGAATTACTTCTCGTAGCGTATAATATTTTCGAATACTGTTATTTCTAATTTAAGCGAGTGTTTATTTGATCGGTAATGTGTTATGTGCCATCAGATAATAGTAATAACTGAACAAATAATTAAGATTTTGATAGAAAGCTAAAGAAAATATTTTTAAACGAATAATCGAAATTTAATTCCAGATCCGGAATGGGCTTCTTATAACATTGGAATATTTGTGTGCACAAGATGTGCAGGTATTCATAGATCGATGGGTGCACATATTTCCAAAGTTAAACATTTAAAACTGGACAGGTGGGAAGATTCTCAAGTGAATAGAATCAGAGAAGTCGGTAATGTGGCGGCCAGACTTCATTACGAAGAACGCGTACCACCTTGCTATCGCAGACCAAGTTCGGATGCGCCGCAGTAGGTTGTTGCGCGTATATTTCGATTATTGCTTTAAAAAACATATTTTTTGTAGATAACATTTTCTAATCGACAGAGTATTGGTGGAACAATGGATAAGAGCAAAATACGAAAGAGAAGAATTTTGTCATCCAGAAAGGCAGAATCATTATGTTTCAGGATTCATGGAAGGATTTTTAATGAAACGCGGTAAAGAAGATTCGCGTTATCATCCTCGAAAGTTTGTTCTTTGCGAAGCGGAAGATACTCTCAAGTATTACGTCAAAGAAAACAAGGTATGTAAATATTAAGTATTACCCGTGCTCGTAGTTGTACGTATTATCGATAACTCCACAAACATTTTTTTGATCATAAGGAACCTAAAGCTGTTCTTAGAATATCGGAATTAAATGTAGCTTTTGCTCCTCCCAAAACTGGTAATCAAAATAGTCTACAAATATCGTTCATGAAAGATGGTACAACGAGACATATCTACGTATATCACGAAGATCCTGAAGTGATTACAAATTGGTATCTAGCGATACGATGCGCAAAGCTACATCGTTTAAAAGTTGCGTACCCAGGTGCAACAGAAGCCGAATTACTCTCGCAACTTACCAGAGATTTTCCACGCGAAGGGTTTTTGTGGAAAACTGGACCTAGGCATACGGATGCTTACAAAAAAAGATGGTTTACATTAGATGGACGAAAACTTATGTACCACGATGATCCTATGGTACGTATTTTTATTTAATGATAGTTTATATTTCTGGAACATTAACCGATACTAATTAAACGGATTTTATGGTTTTTCGAAGGATGCGCATCCAAAGGGTGAAATTTTTTTGGGTCACAATTCAGATGGATTTGCGGTGAAGGTTGGAGTGCCTCCGGGTGCGAGAGATCAGGGGTTTTCGTTTACTCTCGAAACACCGGACAGGACTTATCTTCTTTCTGCCCAAAGCGACGACGATAGAACGCAATGGATGAACGTAATTCAAAAAGTGATAGATAAGCCACTTACTCCGCAAGACGCGACTGGTAAGTTTCGTAGAAATGAAAAAAGAAGGAAAATTAGAGTTGGTAATGCTTTTTCGGTAACATTGGTTTTCATTTGACCTTTATAGTGGCAGCACGTCTTATAAGAAAACGCACAGCTAGTGGGACAATAAATATATTTTCTTCTACAAGGTAGGGCTGGATCCCTCTTAGGTGCCTTTCCTAATTGTTAAAAATCAATATTACCTAGACAAACTAATTGAGCTATTGTATCAAGAAATTATTGAAGAGGTAGATTATTCGACCTGCATGGCGAATGAATGACGTGTCGTGATCGCACAATGCCGTCGAATCGTATATATATACACATTCATTCATACACGCACGGTATATCATAACGCGCGCGTCTGTGTGTGTACATATATAACATTATAAAAGAATCTTTTAATCAATCATAAAACCATTTTTAATGTTTTCATATGACCACTGTTGATGAATCTACAAAAATTATAATTCACTATATACATATAGATTATTCATACTACTGTATGAATATAGTAATACAGATACTACTTACCGAATGTAGTCTATCGAATTTTCTATATATCGAATTCACAAAGAAATTTTATATTAAACGATTCAAATTGATTTCAGTTTTAGATAGGAAATTGGTTACTTTCAATTACATTATAAAATATCTAATGGATACTGGAAAGTTGTAGAGAATGCCTCTGAATTCAGATTTAGTGGTTAGAGTTTTAAGATGATATTATTTTAACGATGGTCAGAATTTCGTATCGAATAGAGTAGCGATTGATATCATTGCTATCGCGAAAGCGCAATTTATGGCCAAAGAGACGAATGTCTCTTACAATGCGAACATCGCTCGAGGACATTCTAATATTTCCGTGCAGTATGTATAATATGCATGAAACCGAAGATGTAATGTAAATATAGAACATGATACACTGTTCGACGATACTTGTATTATGGAATGCTTTTCGCTTGCTGTCGAACCAAGCTGACAGTATTACGCACTATATCATGAAAAATTTTTACTTCATAATATTGCCTACATAATATTTATTCGCTCATAGTTAGAAGCTTACAATTCTATAAACACACATAATAATTCTGTTTTTGGAATTTTTAAGTAAGCATTACGTAATACGATGTATAAAAGAAGCAACAAAATTAGGCAATTTACTAGAGAATATAACAAATGTACAAATTTCTTTTCGAGTATTCGCTACTTGCTCGCAGTGTTTCTCTTTTTAGTTGTAATCACTGTGAATTCATTTAGATTTTGAAAATAAAACTAAACACTCAAACAGTAATATTTGTATGCGAATAATAAATTTCTAAGGCCTAGTAACTGCATTTTTCATATGACTACAAAAGAGTGAATATACATTAAATTTGAGTCCGAGACCATGACACATGTATCGGTGTAAACATGCGCGCTATCCGATCGATCTGTTCTAATGTTTCTATGGACAATATTAGAAGTACGTTTCTTATAAAAGTAACATATACGTACAGAATAATTCGATTCCCTTACGATATAAGACCCCAAGAAGACTGTTGAATGAAGAGACTAAACCATTTTACATGTATGCGCTTGAATACATTCGTATATACTCGCGCGCGCGCGTATACATACGCATTGAGAAAATAAAAATATTTTAATTCTCTGGAAAATGGAATTAGTATTTCTAACGACGGCAATTGTATGTTATAACGTAGTACGTGTTACGTCCAGTCGAAAGGACTGGTGTCTTAAAAATGATCAAGAACGTTTACAGTAACAAGGTATAGAAATTTGTACAATTAAAGTGAGTTATAAGATAAAATATACGGAGAGATGATTATTAAAAGAAAAAAAACGATTTAATATATTTTCCAGAAGATTTATTTACAACACTTATATTTAATTTGAGTTGTTGTAAAACAGATTTTGTTATTTTATAGATATACATACATACGTATTATTATTTCTTTACAACTAATAAAGCATATTCAAGTCAAAATTTATTATTGATCGTTACTTTTTAAGAAAAGTAAGTTGAAAAGATGTAGTGAATAATTCCGTATGCGTTGTTTTGCATCTATATGTACACTATTTTGTACAAAACTGAATCAAAAAAATGAATGTTCCTTTTTTCTTTTTCTTTTTTATTTATAAGGCGTGTCTATTTCCCCCCAAAAAATTAGTTTTGGCATAGGACGATATTAAAATTGTTATTTAAATAGAGTATGTACAAAATTGTATTGCTTTTTCGATTGGCGGTTTTTACGCCCTCACAAAACAAAGGCCCTTGGTTTTACTAAATTTAGTAGAATAAATCACTATTTTATTTTATTATTTTGATCGCACTTGGATAAAGGGGCATTTTTCAAGTAACAGAGTATATTCACCCAACAAAAAGCAGCAACGCTAACGTAGGAAACTCGTAGCGCTGGCGGTATTAGTAGAAAATTTAAAAATTGTACCGGTAACCAATACATGCACGAGGTCTAAAATGAAAAGATTTAATTAATCGCGATTTAACTAATCGAACATGTAAGATACACGAGTTTCGTTATACCTTGAAAGTTTGAAGAAATTTTACTTGACATTCATCAAAAACATCCAATTTACCTTCCATTACGCTCATACCTGAAACGTTGATGGTAATAAAGTATCTTTCTATCGGGGGCAAGAAAAAAGTTTAAAAGTAGAGATTAAGATAAAATACAAACTCAGAAAAAACACCACAATCAACGGCGGTGTAAGAATAAATTGGTCAGTGAATAGTTTTATGAGAATGACTTTCATTGTTTTGCCTTTGTAAAACGTATCCAACCATTTATACCTGGTGAAAATAGTAATTAGCAACATTTAATTAATTTCTCGTCGACTTCTTTGTTTGTCGGAAGAAAAAACAATTGTTTCTCGATCGATTAGTCGCGGAAACAACGTTTGCAATTATTAATGGGAATGGATCGACAATGATACAAGCGAGTTTTCCAGCGATACAAATTGCAAAGCAGAATAAGCTCACCGAATGCGACAGATCGAGAGAAGACCAACGTATTCGTGCCGGCGCCGGCGAATGCATACCATGCAATCGCCATCCAGTCGACAGGCAGTTTTCGGTTTATCTGATACCGGTGTCTATAATAGAAGGTGTTTAGACTAGATTCCGTCGATTGAAATTTAATATCGTTAACGAAATTATTCGACGTAACGAATGCTACTCGTGCCTAATCGAATTAGTGTTCAAGTAACCGATAATATTTGCGAGGCGTGCATATACATAGTATTACCCAAAAGTGCGTGTAACGTAAAAGCGCAAATGTGAAATGTGACAAGTGAGGTATAAATATGTATAAAGCAATTTACAGAGTATACGGTGTAAAAGCATAGCGACGGGTAAATACCATCCGTGGAGCACTGGCCCAGCAATAAAACAACCGTAAATGGCGTATCGCTTAAGTTGAGCCCAATTGTAATTTCCTGATTGTGTCCGATTGTCTTCGTCTAATAAGCCTAACGTTTCGTTAAATTTCTTTACCCAACTAAACGTCGATCTCTCTGTATCGATCGCGTTGGAATTTTTGGCGTTCTCCGTGGTCGGCGATAGCGATGGCAACGGCAACTACAATCGTCACAATTCACCGTACATTTTCATAGAAATCTGTATATTTGCGATACCGTTATACTTTACATAGCTGATTCATCGTTCTTTTCAAACAGGAATTCAAACATTTTATCTACTTTCGTTTATTCTTATGCCATTTCTATTTACATGGTACCGTAATCGATACTGGTACGATTGACCGTGAGTAGATAAGCGCGTTATCAAAAATCGCAAACTAATACTATATAAATTCAAGTCTAGCACAGTAATTCGAGATATCTTTTCGATAAGTATATTTTAGTACATGTAAATCTCTTGTATTTTACCGTATACTCGTCGTACAGAAACAAGTGTTTCATTACCTTGAACACTCTGTTATAAGTTTGCTGGGCGAATTCAGCACCAGTATAAAAAGAGCCATATATTATAGAGTTGAAGAGTAGCGGTCTTTTTTGCATAGAGGTTTTCAACTTTGCTAACAATCTTGATACGATCATGATAATTTACGATCTCGAGACGACCAGCAAATTTGTCCTGTATCTTTCAGATTCGTTCTGTCCTTATTATCTGGAAATTAATAAGTTACCCAAGTTACCTTATTACTCTTATTTTTATACTATTTCAATTTAGAATCCGCAACAAATGGATATTTAATTATTTATATATGTATACATATTGGTGCAGAAATTCAAACTCGGAGGATGTAAAACATTATGGACGAACTAGACGAGTACGAGTACCGCAATGCGGTAATTTTCGTAAACAGTGAAAAGTCAAACGCGCGTTTATAACGAATTAATGAAATATTAAACAAATGTTTTGGTTCACATTCAAGTAGAATATTACGTTAACAACGTTGTAAATAGAAAAAAAATGGAAAATCGAAAAAGTGATGATCTAAAAATCAACAATTTCGTGTTTAAATAAACGTTATCTTTATATTTGATCAATTTCATCTTGCCCTCGAGTCCATGTAAATAAATAGACGAATACATAATTTCTTAAAAAAAACTAGTACATACCATGAGTACTCGGTATTCTTTAAACACTTTTGTGCTTGAAATTATTACACCGTCCCTACTCTGTCCTACTCCTACGATGCTCTTTCATTGAATGTCACGTGCTTCTATTTCATTATCAAAAATCGTGTGTTTTTCGACGGAATTTCATAAACTACGAGCTATCGTGTTATATGGGCCTATAATACTATTCACCTCGAGCAAATAATAATAACTTTTACTTTTTTCCGTGTTTTCGATAAACTCGTCGAGCATACTTGAAGATAACTTCTTTTGAAATCATTACTTTATCAATTTTATGCACATGTTTCGGATATCGAGTAGACGCATTGTTATGTTACGTTATAGAACTATGGTGGAAATACGGTAAATAAACAAAAATAATACTAACCTACGTAATCTCGATTATTCGCGTAATTTATATCGAGTAAATTTTCAGTTAATTAACGAACACAAAAGTATCGACACGCTCGAAATACTGCTCCGCGGAAGACGCGTACGAGATAAAGCACGTGTAACCAGTGATGACCGTTTAGATCTAATCAAAACCAATCACGTCGCGGTTATATCAATTGTAAGCAAACCCGATGCAGAGCGTTATATGTTTGGTATCATAAAATAGTATACTACATCAGTGGTAAATAATTAATCGTTTCTATTATTTCCTAATGTTCGTTGTAAATAAAAAGAAACAACAAAATATACAACAATGTAACGATATTCTTACAAACGTTAATCCTATTAATATGTTTTCTGTTTGCTGTTGCACACAGATTAGGATATTTTTAACTCAGGAATGTTTACTGCGAACATTCAACCTTGTACTTGGATTCTTCATTGTAAACTTCGTAAATAATAGTATTCATAATTTTAGAGTATAAACAATCTTTCCACTCCTGATTCACAACTTTCTCGAGAGTGTACTCTTGAAAAATTTGACTTTCTTCTACCTATTTCGAAATTTAAATCTTTATTATCGATTGTAATGCTATCATAATGTTGTGCAATATAAATTGTTTATAATTTACCTTAAAAAATCCCAAGTTTTCAAACAGCTTTATACTTTTTTCATTATCAAATTTAATCTTGGCTGTGTATTTAAAAACGTTTAACGTATCGATTCCTAACGATAAAAGATACTTTTGTTAAAGATATAATAGAGTAGATAAACGGATAACAGATAAATAAACGCGACATATGTACCATAAAGAAGCATTAGAATTAGCGCTTCCCAACCTCTCTTCTTACCCCTGTAGGCAACGTCTGCTATCATAATTTCAATTTCTGCATTGCGTGGCTGATCCGTTTCGTTGAAAAATAAGTTTGTATCTCCGATCATAGCTTCTAAAATGTATCGATGTGAACGTATTTATAATGAAATTGGAAGCAATAATGACACGTGTAAATTAATATATATTCTTATACCTATTTCATTTCCAGTTGCAGAAAAAATACTTTTTTCCAAAATTATAAATGTACATTCTAAAACAAATAAAAAATACGTATTAAGAATATAAATGTGTGTCGAAAAAGAAAGTAATATGTACATACATACATAAATATGTTATGTATTACTCACTGTTTTCATCTTGATGCCATCGGTGTTGCATTTGAAATTCTTCTTCTAACGTCAAAGCTTCCGAGCCTGTAAAATACCTTAATTCGGCTGATTTCATCCATTCGTGATACCTAAAAATAAAAAATAGAAAATAGAAAATAATGAAAAACTTTTGTATGTACGTTTCACCATTTGGTAAATTGTGAGACAGGATTTAAAAATGGCGGACATTTTTGTGAATGCATATGTTGTCGACAATCGATAAGAGGTAAATAATACCAGCCTTTTAACATGTTTCTTTTTGTAAGGTACTAAAATCACGTTTGTTCCGATAATTTTAGTAAATTCGTTGATTCTCATAGTTAAAAACCAATGGGTATCGAAATTATGAAAGAAATAATCGAGTTGCGAAGTTTAAAGGTAAGAAGGTTACATTCGTCTTTCTGCCATATTGGATGCAAAGTTTGCGACGATACATATGATCTAGGATTCTTAATAAGGAAACTCGCCTTCTTTACGTTTTTGTCATTTGTATCGTAGTGGTAGCACGAGGAATAGCTGCCGAGACGTAAAGTTATTCAAGAAAGATGGCTTACAATTTTCCGGGTGTACCAGCAACCGCTATGCCACCAATGGGTATGTTAAACATTCATAACCGTGTATGTTGCAACGGTCTATCGTGTTTTAAGTCGTTTATAAAACAATTTTCGTCGTTTTACCATGATCAAAGATACAATTTCATTTGACCCGGTACTTGTGTATTTTTAGCTATGGGACCAATGGGGCCGCTGGCCCCAATCCCAGGTCCGCAAGGCTTCATGGAGCTTGCGGGTCAAGGATTTCCTCCTCTTCCTCCTCCGATACCACTGCCTGGAATGAATGATTCTCCTTTAGAGTTTAGTACGAATAAGAATCAACCGCCGGTAGCTAGGGAAACCTCAGAAGACAACAGCGACAAAAGAAACGAAAAGAACAACGTTAAGCGAGAGAGGGAGAATAGGGACAATAGAGGTAATCGAGATAACAGAAGATCCAGAAGCGAAAGAAGCGATAGAAGAGAGAGAGATAGGGAGAGAAGAGAGGAAAGAAACGAAAGAGATCGAAGAGAAGAAAGGAGACCAGAGGAACGGAATAGTATAAATTCTACGAATAGCAATAACAGTCATAATAATAATTCAAATGGTAACGAAATTCCGTCGTCGTCGAATACTAGCGGTACTCCAAATTTAGGACCACAAATGGAACAAGCAACCGGGGTTTGGGGAATGAGCGTGGGGTACCCGGTAATGGGAATGGGTCCGATGGGACCGATGGGACCAGTGATGAGCGAAATGACGCTTGGTCCGCATATGGGACATACTCATAGCTACGGGCCTATGAGCATGGGAATGATGTCGCACGACGGTAGCATGATAGGTGCTCAAATATTAGGACCGGAACAAATAATGAACGATGCTGCTCAGATTATGAGCGGTGCTTTACCTCCGCCACCTACGACGCCGCAAGGTTCCAAAGAGATCATACATTGTAAAAGTTGTACTCTCTTCCCACCGAATCCGAACGCTCCACCACCGACAACCAGGGAAAGACCTCCAGGATGTAGGACCATCTTTGTCGGAGGTACTTTCTTTGCGTTTTGTTTATACGTTAGGGAAAATCGTTAAAAATGTATGTTTTTAAATTGAACGCAGGTTTGCCAGAAAATATTACGGAAACGATAATTCAAGAAATATTCGAACAATGCGGAGAAATAACTACCTTACGTTTGTCTAAAAAAAATTTTTGCCACATACGTTTTGTACTAGAAAGCAGCGTCGACGCAGCTATTTATTTGTCAGGATATAGAGTTAGGATAGGATCTAGCGGTGATTCTGCAAACACTGGCAGACTTCACGTTGACTTTGCTCAGGTTTGTAATTGATACAGGTATCGCGATCACGGAATATTAATATATCATATATCCACTGAAATGTAGGCTAGAGATGACCAATACGAGTGGGAATGTAGACAACGTCAATTGCAAAGGGAGCAACGGCATAGAGAAAGAGTAGAAAAAGAAAGGCAAAGAGCACCGTCCAGTCCTCCTCCGGTGGTACATTACACGGATCACGAAGCATCGAATATTTGTGAGAAAATTAAACAGGACGATACGTTCATGAAAGCAGTGCAAGTGAGTAACGACGATATACGCTTGTCGTATCTAGTTTGAAATATTTGTACAGAAGAGTTCAAATAAAATTTAATTGTTTCAGGTGGTCGTAACATGGCTCGAGCGCGGAGACTGCACGAAACGCAACGCCAACACATTTTATTCGATGATTCAATCTACGAATTCTCACGTGAGAAGATTGCTAACAGAGAAAGTCACGTACGAAGAGGAGCTTCAGAAGGCGAAGGAACTGATGAAAGGCAGGATGCAGGGACTCCTAATACAATGTACGTTTATGTATTTTATCATTTCTTTTTATAATATAGCTCTGTGCCATTGTACATTTTTTGTGTACACAAGAGCAAATCTACATACGTATTGCCTTATCTGGTAAGTTTTTTTTTACCATAATATAAGGATCCTGCTATCCTTTGGGTATCGATACAACGACAATTACCAAAATCCGATTACGTCAGAATTTTTGCGCGTCTTAGGATAACACGAGAGAGTGCGCACTCTTCTTCTTTTTCTTCTTTTTCTTCTTCTTCTTCTTCATTGGTAAATTGTCAGACTAAGAGCACTATAACATAAGCAGAATTTATCGTTATAGTAATTACAAAGGTACGTCTTTTCTGGTATTAAGGATTCTAATATTTAAAGAAGAAGCGGATACGCAAAACCGCAGCACATTTTCAATGTTACTAATTACATAGTCGACCTATTGAAACTGTTAATGACGACGAGTCTGTTAAAAATTTCATCCTCGTTGAAATTCAACATCAAGTGTATCGTAAGATCAAATTTATTATGTAACAAGTGTATTGTGGTCGATGCACGATCAGGACAACTCGGTAGAAGGATCAAAGACAGTAGGAGAAAATATAAGGTGGGTGAAGAAATCCTGTCTTTCGGTTCTAGGTTCTATCGATTGAACGAAAAAGCACAAATATCACGAAAATTCATTTCATAGAGATATAGTCTACCTAAGAGTTGCATGCTTGCAATGCTAAGGATTAAGGGTGACGGGCAAAATATTTGTTACAAACATGATGATATTACGCTACGATTCTCGGTTTGGTTTATCGGTTAAAATGATTTAGACGTATATGTGGTTTCACGTCGGCATCGTATAGTACATATATGTATATATATATATACGATATATATATATATATATATATGCGATTCGTTGCTCGAACGAAATCGTAGCTTAACATCATTCATAACGTCGGAAGGCTCTACATGTTGTAAGTTGTTAGGCAAATAGTGTTAATTTTCCTAAGGAAAATAGGCACGCGTTGCGACATGTCGAAAAGACTGATTGGCAGCCGAGTTGCAAGAGCTTGGAAAAGGATCCACGAAATGGTGAAAGCAGTTTTTAAAATCGTTATATTCGGATAAGTAACTCGACGACACCGTTACCTAGCACGATACCTAGCAGACTTGTATTTCTACGATCGAATAGTAACAGGTGCCGGGTTAATTTTGAAGATACGCGTGCGAAGGAAACGTTCGAATCTGAATGATAGAGAAACGAAAAGATTTCGGTAACAGCACTGACACCGAGTATATTGCAAAGAATGTATTTAAGAGTGTTTAGATGACTATAACGAGTAACATATTAGACCAAAACGAACGTAGAGTTTAAAGCAGGGTATACAACAGAAGATTTGTTGTGTTTTTGTATGCAACATGCGACCATGTCACCAACAGTCAGTCAGATTGAACGCGTCTTTACTGCGGCCAGCCACAAGAAGGTCTGGGATCACTTCACAAAGGCTCAACGGAAGAACATCGAAATGTGGAAGAAACAATCCTCGGTATGTATTTGCATTTCCACACCAGTAGCGTGTCCAATACGTTACTTTCTTTACGATTAGACACAACAGTAATCACCGGCAAAGTCTTACGAGTCACAAAGTGCTTCTTTATGCGATTGCACGTTCATCTATATGCCACGCACACGCGTTTTGCAATATCTTTTTTTCGAGAAGAAGGTAAGTGATCGAAAAAGTACAGACGTCTTCAAATCTGGTCAGACACATACGCTTTCTCTGTTTGATTAATGTTTAAACTTATTCACGAAGTATCGGCGCGCGAAAGGTAACGAGTAGCTTTGCTAATTCAAATTGAACAGGTACCACGATCGATGGAAACAGGTAACTAATTCTCAATGATCGATTCGAATAATTATAAGACGAAATGAACGACCACGAGGACAAGGAGGAGGAAGAGGAGGCGGTGGAGGTAGAGGTGGAGGAGGAGGAGGAGGAGGAGGAGGATGATTTTTAAGTTATTATTATTTACTATAATCAAATATAGAATATAAAAACTCATACAAAGAGAAAACGTCATTTTTGTATCGGATGATTTTTGAAAAGTGCTCGATGGAATTATCCTTGACTTTCGTATACTATTAAATTTCTATGATATTATTTGTTTCTATAATATTTCATTTCCATCAGGTAAGCACGTAATTTTTCAAAAACTCTCAAGTTTTCGGAAATCAACGTTAAATATGTAAATTTTACGTACCGTTCAAAATTCTTCCACGTAAACTCTAGTTTCGAGAGACATTCGAAAATTCGTGATGCATCGAATATAAAATACACACGTGTATATACATATACGTATATATGGCATGTTTTTGGTGTTACGTCCGTCGGTAATTTCGAATCGAAATGAACTCGGCAATGTTTTTTCACCGTAACAGGAGATCAAAGCGGTGCAATTGGAAGAGACCCTAATGGAAGGCGAAGGAGAAATGGAAGTATCCGATTCGGAGGAAGAACCGCAACGTAAAAAGGTACGGAATCAGTCAGATGTACACGACGATTCCGAGAGATTGCAAGCTTTGAAGGAAGAAAATGATAGTCTTCGATGTCAATTGGAAGCGTATAAAAACGAAGTAGGTAACAATCTCTTAAACTATTTTCACGCATTCGAGGATTATTGTGGAAAACAGTGATTTTCACGTCATAGGTGGATCTACTTAAATCCGAAACGAAAAGCGACATAGACGCGAAAGATAAGCAAATGAAAATGTTGCAACAAACTTTGAAAGGTATGCAGGAGCAGTTAATGCAATCGAGGAAGCAACAAGCGCAGGACGATCAGAAAATAAAGGATTTGACCGTGAAGCTAAATGCTACAAAAAAGGAAGAACCTAGGGAAAGCGAAGTAATAACGTTGGACAAAGACGACGACATAAACGAGGAGCCACGAATTCCCAAACAATTAGTTCTATCGTCTAGTTTTGTCCAAATTACTCAAAAAGATGCCAAGCTCATAGGTAGTTTGAGAACATGTTCGTTGGGTGTCCAGCTCTTCTTCAAAGTATTACCTTCATATATTAATAGTAAAAAATCGTTCCCCTGTGGTTGCAGGATTAATAGCAACATTCTTACATATACATCCATTCGGTGCGAGCGTGGATTATTTATGGTCTTACTTACAAAAGATGGAACCAGGTATCAAACCAAACGAGGTGGAAGCTTTAATGCAACGATTTCCTCAAGTCTTTAAACAAGATTTATTCGGAATTGGAGCAAACATGGAAAGACGTTGGCAGTTTTCAGGTTTCAACGTGTATCGTAGTCATTGAGATTTTTGTGTACAAATTAATTTTGGAGCAGAAAATCTGTTAAAGAACTTGATAATATCGTCTCGTCTCGTGTCGTTTAGATTTTTATTGTGATACTTATTTTTTACGGCAAGTCTTTATTTAAAATCTCTCATGGAAATGAAAATTTGCGAATAAAAACTATTATTTTCGAAGATATAATACTTTGGAAAAAAAACAATAATCAAATTGCTTACACCCACGAGCACCAACTAAATTTGTTCGAAAAACTCTTTAAATACATTCGCAAAGTCTTAATGTAACGGTGATAGTAGAAATATTGCGAAAGCAGCCATTAGCCGTTAGTAGACAACATTTTTACAAGTTTCTTAGCGTGTGTAAAACGGCATGTAAAACGATACGTTATTAATTCTCTAGTGTTATTTTTACGTAAAATACATATGCGCGATGTCTTAATTTGTTAATTATAAATAAATTAAAAGAGCTTTTCACATTAAATTTCAAGCAATTGCTTATTAACTCAACCACCAATAAAACTTTGCAATGTTATACATACGTGGTAATGTACTGTAAATTTACTACTAGTTACTTATCAAACGAAACTTTCACTGCGAACTATCGACTATTACTGTTCCAATTTAACCAATATTGTACGAATCACGAATTAACAATATTTGTATATGTTTATATAAGACTCCAAGTATTCGTGATTAAATAGTTATAATATAAAATTTAAATTGCGGTATAATTAAACTACGTTAAAGAACAAGTTTTCAACAGTCAATTGATCGAAAAAGAAAGAAGGTAACCGATTCACAGGCAGCCGATTATTGCGGGCTATCCCCAGCTATCGTCAGCTATCGCCTGCCGGATTCAAGGGCAGCGAGCTGCGAACACCAACGAAGAATTTATCGCTATGAACGAGGTGTATGTAAAATAAATCTGTTATTATTTATAAAACCAACTTCCTCGCCAATTTTAATGATTTACAGGATGTATATTAGAGAAAGTATACGTATCCCTGTAATCGAGCCCGATCGAGCCTCTCTGAAGCCAAACCGATCAACGCTACTTTTCATGAATTTCTTAGTTTTAATCAAATGCTAAGAAACAATATCGAAACAACGTTTACGATACCAATTTCTTTACTTTTTTATTTCATTGAGTTGATTTATGTAGCTTCAATTTTAGAAATTTTATGCTGTTCAGAATTGTATTTATATGACAGATGGCCCTCTGGTGGTGTGGTTCATTATTTTATCGAGGAATTCGAAATTATGTGTGTTACAAGGTGTTCCGACGATTGTTAGGTTATGAGATCAATCTCTAATTTATATAGTATTTGTTTTCTTCGTATTCGTACTTGGCATTGGCACTGATTTGATTGGCACCAAACACTAGATAGGTATCAGTAGTGAGATGGTACAAAATATGTAAAATAAATATAAATTGTAGTTATGAATTCAGTGAATTACTATGATGTACTTGGTTGTACCAAGGAATCAACGTTCGAAGACATAAAACGCGCATATCGTGCATTAGCTTTAAAATGTCATCCAGACAAAAACTTGTCGGAATTTGATGGTATAAAATTCCAACGTATTCTGGAAGCATGGAATGTTTTGCGAGATCCTAAATTGAGAGAAGAATACGACGCTACGCAGAAGCAAATCGAATTAGATTCGGATAACATGCTGATATATGCAAGAATATCTGCCAACGAACTGAAAACAATAAATGATAACGAAGAAGATGTATTTGTTTATGAATGCAGATGCGGTGGTTTGTATTACGTTCAAAGGGAATACCTCCGAGAAAAGAATCAGTCGATACACGTGCCATGTGTGGAATGTACCTTTCTTATCGTTGTCGAAACGTAACATGCATATGTATAGAAAATACCGTGAAAAAGTTGCTATTAAAAAATGTTGTAAACGTATTTCAAGGCAAAACGCAACGAAATTTCAAATGCAGCAACATTTTCTATTTCTTATAAAAAATGATACAACAGATAACACATTATTACAAATATAAACTATTGAGCAATATACAAATAAAACACGATTCTTAGAATATCCTAGGTTCAATAATAAAAATTGCATTTACACGAATCCTATTCCGAATTATCGATAGAACATGCACGTTCTACCGTTAGTTAAAACCGAATGTCGTATAATTTTTGTAGCGTTACCATTTGTACAAACAAATTAATTCGACATAAAAATCTACGATACTTTGAACAAATTTGTTATTTACATTTATCCTTGCGCGATAACCAAATTAGTCTTGTTTATCAGAATCGTGCATATTGCACAGGAAAGTTTGCAACTCTTATTATTGCGCCACGGCGAAACCAGACTTGTTACTAACGTCAAAATTAATATATTTTAATTAAATATTAACTCCTCGACAATCCAATTAAATTACTATCACGGATAGCGGATTAACTCTGGTTTTCCGATCGAATAGCGAATAGTGAATATCGAATGATTTCTGAATGTGTTACGCGCAAAACATCTATCGTATACTTTGCGAGTATTCGATTATCGTAGAATTTGGTAGCCTAAATTTGTGTATTCGTCGTCACTTTCATATAGTAATTATAAAAAGAATAAAACAGCGATACGTATTGCGACACGAAATAGACAAACTCTACAATTATTTGGTACAAGTATGTCTATTATGATCATCATCATCATCATCATCATCATCATCATTATTATTATTATTGTTATTATTATTATTAAATTTGTTTTGCATGAATAATTGATGTATTATTTCTTTCACGCACTAAACGTGAAAAATAATAAAAATAAAATGCAAAATGCAGAGCGCCGAATGTTTCAGACTTGGATACGTTGTTGCTTGATACTCTGCAATTTGTAAACTTTTTGTTGCCATTGAAAAACTCACAATAGAAATTTAAAGCCATGGATAGCTGCAGTTTTCGATACTAAATCTACTATACGTAGATACATTAATCGATAACCAAATGATTACGGGTTTGTGCGTACTACAAAACCACAGAATCGTTAAATTTTATTAATTACGTAAAATTATTTAACGAATTTCTTGCCCGTAACACGTTCAATGGCGCTCTAATTAACGAGCAACTTAAGACGATGTTACAAGTGCTAATGCAAGGTAACATTAGCGTCAATGCCATACGAGAAATCGTTTATGATTTTCAAAGACATATTTTAAACCGAAAAATTGGATATGAATTACATTCGTACGATTTCGTATGAATATTTGTCCATGGATATTTTAGACGATAAAATATAAATGAACATTTATAACAGAAAATTGATTTAACCAAGAGTCGCTTCATTGAAAAATTATTAAATAGCGTTTATGTCATCCAATAAATTATGCACAATTCCCATAGCAATTAATTTAATCAACGTAAATGACGAATTTAAATAAATTAAGTGAAGTACAACGAAATTAAAGAACTTATTGTACAAAAAGTATCTTTACCAATTTGGTCATAATTTTTTTTATCCATTCTCTGTTATACCAAAATTAACTATTTTATTCAAATTTATTGTTTTCCATTCTTTTCTTTCGTCATTCCGAATCTTTGAACGTTTCGTTTAAAATTTTGAGATTCTCCAAGCGATATTTTCATCTATAAGCTTGACAAATACGGTAAGAAATCTTTGTTTCTGTAGTTTAAAAATACTCTCCTGAACGCCCTTATGAATTGTTATGTAATCGCAATGCTTAAGAAGTTTCGCAACAGCAATAATACAATAGTACATTGATAAGCTCCTCGTTCTTCGCAATTTGTTGAGTCTTTGAAATCTCATATTTGTACACCATGATTAATACACTCCATAATTAATATAATTAATGCCTTCGGTTTGATGAACGTTTTACCATTTCGGAGATCATTTGCAACAACTATAGAACCACGTTTGACTTTTTGCAATCTCCCTTCAGATTTTCAACATACATCCTTATCACAATCACACCACGTAATACATGAATCATTGTACAGTAGATTGGTTACGCTACCTAATCAAAGTATGTACAGAAATCGTAGAGGAGAGCAGTTTTGTTCGCAAAAAGGTGCACTATTTTACCTCCACGTCAAAGTCGAGGACGAGAAGTTTTGTTTCTTCTGTGCCGTTACGGCTACCCACTGCACACACCAGTTTTGTGTCACTTGCACGTATCCTCCACACAACACCACCACTTCCTCCGCTTTCCAGAGCAACCAAGTTTCTTATAAAATCACCTAAAAGTATAAGAGAAATTTGAAAGAAGTTGGTAGAAATGTAAGGTGAAATTATTCGACAATTCGAAAATAACATAGCCAAACGAACGAACGAACCAGTTTTAACGTCCCAGAGCTTGACTGTTCCATCGTCGGATGAAGTAATTACAAAGTGACTGTTGAATTGTAGACAAGTGACCGCGGATTGATGTTTATTTGGACCGGAAAGGGTTTGAAGGCAGTGACCGCTAACGATGTCCCACACTTTAACAGTCGAATCCGCGTTTCCCGATACCAAAATGTTATTACGTAACTCCATTCCCGAAGTGAGCGATTGATGTCCCATCAATGTATGTCTACACGCTCCGGTTTCAACTTCCCATACTCTTATACTCGTATCCAGAGAACCGCTAACAACATGTACACCGTCAAACTAATACGAAAAGAAACAAAAATTATGTACGTTGATATTTTCCGATATAATAAGTAAATATGCATAAACGAATGGTAATGTAAAGTGAAGTAAATTAAAGTACAGTAAAGTAAAGTAAAGTAAAGTAAAGTAAAGTAAAGTAAGGTAAGGTAAGGTAAGGTAAGGTAAGGTAAGGTAAGGTAAGGTAA